AAAAAAAATTAGAAAGATTCGATTTTTCGGTTCTTGGTCTAGAATCGAGAACCGAACCGTACCCGTCGGTTCTCAATTCACATACCCTTTCGAGTATTTAATTTGACAAGAACCGTCGAGTTCGGTTCGACTAGGATCGGATTCGGTTCGAGAGATTTGCCCAACCCTATTTTCAATCTATATAACATCAATATTTAATGAGCATACTTAGTTTCAAACTTGGTTTCCCATATATCTATGGATTGTTAGTTATGTGTCTTTTATTTTCTTACAATAATAACTCAACCACATATATATATACATGTGAAATACAAATTTTGCTGAGTTAGCACATCTAACATAGCTTCTATATAAATGAACATCATTTTGTTGAAGATCCTATGAACTTGCAGAAATTTTTTTAAACACATTCTCTTTTGCTTATATGACATAAATTCTTTTCAAACATGTTTATATGTCGCTCCATTTTCTTTTTTTCTTTTTGGGTGTCATTTCCGTTAGATATAATGTCCGCATATCATGGCCATTAAATGAAGAAAAATTGCGCAAATGGTCCCTAATCTATGGGGTAGATGCACAGTTGGTCCATAACCTTAAAATTTGACGCACGCATTCTTAACCTTCCACTTAATGAGTGTAATTAGTTCTTTTGGATGGTTTCCGTCCTATTGATCGTTAAAAGCGTCAAATTTTTAATAAAAGGACTAAAATATTCTTATTTTAGTGGAAAACAATTATTAGAATATATGACAAAAAGAACAATCCATCATACCAGAACAATTTTTCATGAGAGTATCTTCAACGCAACCATATAGATCGATTTAACACTAATGCCATATAAGCAAAATAGAAGGTATTTAAAAAAAATGCCTTTTCAATGGGACTCCCATCAAGATAATGTAATAGAGAAAAAATAGATATTGGAATACTTTCAATCTATATGGCATCAATGTTTGATGAGTATACTTTGTTCAAAATTGGTTTTCAATGCATTTTATGAATTGCTATTTATGTGTCCTTTATTTTTTCCAAGTAGGTTATAGATTTCTATTACAATGTTTTCGCTCCCGTTCTGGACATTGAAAGGTGGGAAATCTCAACCACAAAATGTTTAATGGAGCGAGGATGGGGAACATAGTAATTTTTAAAAAAAAATTCTTTTTATCCTTTTCAATTCAAATAATAGAATTTTTAAAAATAAAAAAATTAAATAGGATGGTAAATGAGATTTTTTTAACCCCATCTTGCCCTGATCTCTCCGTCTTCCAAAAATCTATGTCGGGTGGGGGCGCGCATGCCCTGTCCCGTGAAGAGAAAAAATAAAATAGTAATAATAAAATAAACGGGATGGCTAACGGGGCTAGCCGTTGTCCCGCCCACTGCCATCACTAGATAGTAAGGACTATCTAGTTGCCATTCTTATCCTAGAAGTAGTGCTTTAAAAGGCGTTAAGCGTGTCAAGATAGCAACACCAATCTCAAGTCTTACAAACCAACGTTCCTACATGAAGATTAGGCATATAAAAACATTTTTTAATATTTTTAGTTACTCATTAGTAATTAAATAACTAATTTAGTTCAATGAAAACAAATAAATTATAAATATATAATTACTTGATCATCTAAACTGGACATTCTCTAAGTTTCCAAGGATTAGATAATTGAAAATTAAAAGCAGAAGATCCCTTTTAGGAGCGAAGAAGTCGTCCATACTAATTTAGTGCCTAATTCCAAGTAGGTTATAGATTTCTATTACAATGTTTTCGCTCCCGTTCTGGACATTGAAAGGTGGGAAATCTCAACCACAAAATGTTTAATGGAGCGAGGATGGGGAACATAGTAATTTTTAAAAAAAAATTCTTTTTATCCTTTTCAATTCAAATAATAGAATTTTTAAAAATAAAAAAATTAAATAGGATGGTAAATGAGATTTTTTTAACCCCATCTTGCCCTGATCTCTCCGTCTTCCAAAAATCTATGTCGGGGTGGGGGCGCGCATGCCCTGTCCCGTGAAGAGAAAAAATAAAATAATAATAATAAAATAAACGGGATGGCTAACGGGGCTAGCCGTTGTCCCGCCCACTGCCATCACTAGATAGTAAGGACTATCTAGTTGCCATTCTTATCCTAGAAGTAGTGCTTTAAAAGGCGTTAAGCGTGTCAAGATAGCAACACCAATCTCAAGTCTTACAAACCAACGTTCCTACATGAAGATTAGGCATATAAAAACATTTTTTAATATTTTTAGTTACTCATTAGTAATTAAATAACTAATTTAGTTCAATGAAAACAAATAAATTATAAATATATAATTACTTGATCATCTAAACTGGACATTCTCTAAGTTTCCAAGGATTAGATAATTGAAAATTAAAAGCAGAAGATCCCTTTTAGGAGCGAAGAAGTCGTCCATACTAATTTAGTGCCTAATTCCAAGTAGGTTATTCAGTCCAAGAAGAAATAATTGGATTTTTATTTTTATTTAAAAAAAAAAAATCACACGCCTTTTGGTGCCTAAGCTTGTTTAGTCCGCAATAGGCCTTCAAAAAGGAGTTGAGTGCAATTTTTCAAGCCTTGCTCATATGTGGAGCATTTCGAAAGTACCTCACCTAGACGATGTCATTACACGATTTTTAGAACATTGACTACAAGTAGGTTTAATCATGTTAATACTGCATTTGTCCATATTTTTTTCTTGTATTGGAGGTCAAGTTTATGCCCTTGACCCTCATAAATTAATTAATTTTCGATTTATAATTATGAAGTAGTTTCAATTCTAGCCCTCCCTAATCTTTCGTTTTAATTATTTACATCTTTTAATTACTAGGTAACAATTGATATGGTTTCCCCCTAAAAAAAAAAAAAAAAAGGTTCAACAGATTGTGTTGCAAGAGTTAGATGTGAGCAGTACAAGTTGAAAGGCTACCAGACTATTTGGAGGGTAGGTGGCATAGATACCAAACAAACCTGATCCCTATCTATCATTGTAGAAGCAGTTTTTATGAAAAATTATGGTTCTTAGGTATCCAATCAATTAAGAAATTGAAAATTAAAAGCAGAAGATCCCTTTTAGGAGCGAAGAAGTCGTCCATACTAATTTAGTGCCTAATTCCAAGTAGGTTATTCAGTCCAAGAAGAAATAATTGGATTTTTATTTTTATTTAAAAAAAAAAAATCACACGCCTTTTGGTGCCTAAGCTTGTTTAGTCCGCAATAGGCCTTCAAAAAGGAGTTGAGTGCAATTTTTCAAGCCTTGCTCATATGTGGAGCATTTCGAAAGTACCTCACCTAGACGATGTCATTACACGATTTTTAGAACATTGACTACAAGTAGGTTTAATCATGTTAATACTGCATTTGTCCATATTTTTTTCTTGTATTGGAGGTCAAGTTTATGCCCTTGACCCTCATAAATTAATTAATTTTCGATTTATAATTATGAAGTAGTTTCAATTCTAGCCCTCCCTAATCTTTCGTTTTAATTATTTACATCTTTTAATTACTAGGTAACAATTGATATGGTTTCCACCTAAAAAAAAAAAAAAAAGGTTCAACAGATTGTGTTGCAAGAGTTAGATGTGAGCAGTACAAGTTGAAAGGCTCCCAGACTATTTGGAGGGTAGGTGGCATAGATACCAAACAAACCTGATCCCTATCTATCATTGTAGAAGCAGTTTTTATGAAAAATTATGGTTCTTAGGTATCCAATCAATTAAGCCCTCAAACCAAGGAAGCTTCAACGAAAATAAAAGACTTTAAACCGAAGTTACTCGATTTTCTCTCGGTTGACACGCCGATCGGGATCAGCTTAGATACCAAAATCTTGAATATATATATTATTAAGTAATAGTATGCTCTTCTAATGTACAAAATTAGCTGCTCTTACGCCACCATGTCTCCTTCAGTGAGGTCTTATTCTTTTCTTCAAATTTTTATACATAATTCTGCTAAGTATTAGAGCCTCTTATGACATCTAATTAAATTACTAGACCAATATTAACATGAAAAGGTAATATCTGTTTCTAACACATATATGCCAATTTATTTATTTATTAATTAACTAAAAAAAAAAAAAAAAAATTATCCTGCACATTGATCGTGTTATAACAAGACAACCATGTAGACTTCAGATAAAGGATATGAAATGAAATCGATTATGATGTATATTATTCCTTTCTTAGTCAATTACTTGATGAAAATATCCTCAAACTAAGGCTATCATTTTCCAAGACAATGGAGTCAACATCCACACTTGTGGAATGGGTATATGATTAATTGCTTAGTCCACTTTGAGAATATATATATATACAAGAAGTTGATAAGGAAATTATTAGGTTCTTAGGTATCCAATCAATTAAGACCTCAAACCAAGGAAGCTTCAACGAAAATAAAAGACTTTAAACCGAAGTTACTCGATTTTCTCTCGGTTGACACGCCGATCGGGATCAGCTTAGATACCAAAATCTTGAATATATATATTATTAAGTAATAGTATGCTCTTCTAATGTACAAAATTAGCTGCTCTTACGCCACCATGTCTCCTTCAGTGAGGTCTTATTCTTTTCTTCAAATTTTTATACATAATTCTGCTAAGTATTAGAGCCTCTTATGACATCTAATTAAATTACTAGACCAATATTAACATGAAAAGGTAATATCTGTTTCTAACACATATATGCCAATTTATTTATTTATTAATTAACTTAAAAAAAAAAAAAAAAATTATCCTGCACATTGATCGTGTTATAACAAGACAACCATGTAGACTTCAGATAAAGGATATGAAATGAAATCGATTATGATGTATATTATTCCTTTCTTAGTCAATTACTTGATGAAAATATCCTCAAACTAAGGCTATCATTTTCCAAGACAATGGAGTCAACATCCACACTTGTGGAATGGGTATATGATTAATTGCTTAGTCCACTTTGAGAATATATATATATATACAAGAAGTTGATAAGGAAATTATTAAAAAAAAAAAATTCTCACGACAAACCAAGCATTTCTAGACCAACAAAATCCTGTTTCTGGTATCTAGGGTTTCAAACAGGAAATTTTTTTGTTCCTTTTGAGGAATTTTTGTACTGCCATAACTCTATTTCATAACCAATCTCAAAAAAAAAAATTGTAACTCATCTAACTAGTTCAAACAGTAATAACCTTTATATATGCTTTAAGTGAGTCAAATCCCTTTTTTTAGATCGAATTTCAAACATTTTTACGCGCAAAATATGAATGACAAATTGTACGCACCTATGAATCACACACCATGTGTGTGCACACTTGATCTCATATATATTTAATCATATATGCTTAAACAATCTTTCTTGCGTCCAATTAAGTTAGGATCTAAACTGTGGAAATATTGAAAATACCTGAAGGAGCAGCCGCTGGGCATTTCACTAGGTGTCTTTTGTATGTTTGAATTCAACATTAGTTGAACACAATCCCTGAATTTATACGTTCATATCTTTAATCACCCTATCAAAATGATTTTCAACATCAATTCAATATGCAAGAACAACTTAAAATAATTCAATTAACTTACCAAATAAGAACAGGTAAAAAGCCAATATAAGTAGTTACATGCAAGCCCTGACAATCATATATATTAAGTGTCCACTTATATGAATGTACAATAATTAATCCATACACAAACATGATACATATATAATATAAGCAAATATCAAGATTTATTTATATTATTGGAATAATGGAAGAAGACGAAGAGATCTTACTTTTATTCTATATCGATCTCCTGATCATGATCAAGCTTGACCAAAGATACCACCTTCAGCATAATTCCTGTTGCCTTTAATTGAATCAAAACGCCAATAGAGTATACTATACAGATAAAATTAGACAAGAACAGTAATACATAAACCCTAATTTGAAATTAATTATTGTAGTGAAACATAGAGAATATAGATCCCACAATTATCTGTAGACTGCAAGCTTATTACATCAAACCCAAAAATCACTAGCCTAATTATTGCAGAAACACAAGGGTTTATTAGTTTCCAGGTTAAGGTAATCAAAAGTTAAAATTTGTAAGAAAAACAGGCAATTTTTGGAGTCATAGATCTGAACTCCCTTCAAGATTTCTGGACCAAAAAAGAAGCAAAGAACAGTAAAAATTCCACAGTATAAATTTTGCATCAAAGTTCAACCAAGGGGTAAGCACAAATCCCCTAACCTAATATATTAGTTTGGTGCATACTTCTATTCATAATACACTGACGTTGGATGGGTGTGGGGTGAGGTGGGGTGGGGACTGAAGGCTTCCTCACAGTGGTTTCACTTCAAGTTTTGAACTATATCAATCCCTTTCTTCATTGTTTGAAGATTTGTTCTGATTAGCCCTATCTCCTTCTGCTTCCCTATACTTATGCAAATACCTCCTGAGTGATTCTGCATAATCATCAAATCCTAAACTTCCCAAAGCCCAACAAATGTCATCTCCATTAACTGTTTTCCTCTTCTCCTTGTGGCATTTATCAGATGCTTCTCCAGTAACAAAGCTAATGAATTCTGATACACATTCTTGCGTGGTTTCTTTAGCTTCTTTAGAGATTTTCGCATTCGGAGGAAGGATCTGCTTCATTATCCGGCTGACATTAGCTATAGGTAGCAACCGATCTTGCTCCTTAATGGTGCCTTGATCCTCCTCTACTGAGTCATGAATACTAGCATCAGCTGCATAAATATTGTATTTGAGCCTTTCAGAACTTGACTCTATATTATCAACCATATTTCTATAAAGAGAATACCTTGATCCTGTAAATCACAGACACGTTGCTTATGTCTATCAATTGCCTCTATATAGACGAGTTACGGTTTTATAAAATTATTTTTGCTGATTCATCTCATTTAAAACTTTAATCTTTACATAGAACAGTTATCGATATATGAAATTATTGATTTAACCGCCTCATTTAAACCGTAAGCTATATATAGCCGAGCTATGGTTATATGGATTGTTTTCAATATAAGATGCACAATTTTCATGAAAGTTTTGAATTTTTACTCAGTTAGTATATTGAACTATATTGAACCACTCTATCTAAAAGCTCTAAGTGGAGATACATTTAGTTTAAAAAAAATATTATTCTTCAAATTTTGAATGCATTAGTACATTATAATGATCCAATTTAATTAAAATAAATTTAAAGTTTAACATAACGTGGCAGTCTTAAGATGCCAATAACATAGTCAAAATCCTTGGGAGAAGGGGTGGGTTTGGGTGGGGGCATGGCAGTGGCAGACAAAATTCCATTTACAGTAGGAGTTAGGGCACTTTTCTTTAGTATTGAAATATTTGTATGATGATTTCTGGGAGCATTCCAAAACCCTAAATCTTTAAAAAAAAAAAAAGACCAGAAAATTGATTAGCTCAAATGGTCCCCTCCCTCTCGAGTTGGCCATTAATCTTTAATGCCCCGATTCATGAATTTCACTGGTTAGGCTTAACTATATTGTTCTTGAACTGTGTCTGTGACAGTGAGCTTAGTACCAAACAAAACGTAGAAAGATCCACAGCCGGATTAAAATCAAAATACACCAATGTTTGTGTGTGTGTGTATATATATATAGACACATATAATTATAATTTCTATGTCATTTATGGATGTGTTTAAGGACATATTGGTTAAACTAGATTCTTCGTTTGGATCAATCAAAACCCACTTCAAAGTCCAAACTATACAAGTTTAATTCTTTCAAAATATTCACCTTTCTCGAGGTAGATGATGATATTTATACATATGGATTTTTTATATATACCTTAGTATCATATAATATGTATCATTTCACCACTTTAGTATACCTAATTTATCACAAATCTGACCTAGTTTTGTGTATAAAATTGTGTAAGTTGATCCATTCGAGGAATCTTTACACATAAAAGGAAATATAGTGACTTGCTATGTTGTTAATGACATGAAGTTAATTTGTTGTTGAGTTATATATGTTAAACTAACATATTTACTAAATATATCCTCTTTAGTTTCAAGATTTGATCTCTTAAAGATATCATTGACTACTATTACCATGCTATTGGATTTAGTTTCTAAGCTCAAGTTGGTTTCGACAACACATCAAAGAAATAAAATATTTTCAATTCTCTGTTATATCGCGATGGCCTCTAAATTCTTTAAGGTTATTGACATATTAGTTTGATTTGTCTAATCTCTATTGTAACGTTGAAATGCGCCTTTTTTAACAATTTTTTTGAAAGGAAAGTTACACATTTCCTTCTTTTGGAATTTCATTCCGGACTACATTTGGTTTATAATTGTTAATTATAGAAGTAATAGAGTGGAAACATGAAAGATGGAAGGGAAAGTATAAAGACAACTCCTTACAAGCTTAGGTCCAAATTAGACTGAAAACCTGTCAGTTATATGACTCAAATGCTGACCCATGTTTTTGGATTAGGAAGGCCACTAGGACATGTAAAGGAGTGATCTATTGTCAATTAGGCATACTAATTATCGGCGGAGCTATATTAAGTAATTAAATATCACTATCTTATTGCTATTGATAAACTAAATCAGCACTCAGCATTGTGAAAATGACTCATTATTCATCTTAAATTTATCTGTTCAAGCATTAAAAAACTTAAAATTAATCCCTTATGAGTCAGTCTGCTTTTTTAATTAAGTGAACATCAGGTGCTCAAAGAAGATATGCGTCACCTTCTAATACGAGGGACACTTGGAGCCTCACTAGTTAGAGACATAGATATAAAGAAAACTAAGACAGCAACGTTAAGTTTTTGATTCACATAATTAAATTCTTTTTCTAGATTAATCTAGGTAAAGTAGGTAATTGAGCTTGATAGTGTTGGGAAGTCAATCTAAGCTTGTGAATGAATCTTAAATAAAATTCAAGATATAGAAAATCTTCAATAATTGCATAGATTGAGTCTTGAAGAAAGAAATATGAATTTATTCTATTAGTTTGTTTCATGAATACGTACCAATTTTATTAGAGCAAGAATATATGATTTCGAGCATACACATTAAATAAAATCCTCCTACTAAGTATAAATGGGAGCCTTAGGTTTGTACTCAAAAGCATGAAGAAAGATGTGAAGTGAATTTTGCAAGACAATTGTGAGGAGTAACAGTAGAGAAACAAATTCCAAGTGAGAAATGATCATTGTTTAAGAATAACATTTTTCTCCTAGAATGTTCTCGTGACTTTGGGTAAGTGTGTTTGGTTTATTGTGAGTCGTCCTTCATTTTCAATGAAGTAGTATCAGAGCTTTGTTCAAAGAATTTTTAGAAATAGTATCAAACTAACAAATTTCAGCCCATAACTTCATAAATTCAGTGGGAAAGAATTATAACCAGTGGAGTAACTTTCAAGACTTGTGGGTAGAAAATGAATTTTAAAAAAGGGAGAATAAGGCGAATTACTCTGGGTCATCAAAACATGCTTAAGGTAGATGCTGGGAACAAGTTACCAGAATTGTCCTGATATCACTTTTTGAATCCGGAGGTGATGCAAGAATTGAAATTAATGAACAATATGAAATAAATATGATTACAACGAAGAAAATAAAATTAAAGTAAAGAAATTGAAGAATGATTAGTAGATGAATTGATGTTTTACCACTATTTCCATCCACCCTTTTTATATATACATCCACTTTTAAAAATTAAATTTTGTTATATTTTAAATCCTATGTTAATTTACTTAAATAGACATAAACAAAATTAAATAAAAATACATAACTCTAAATTTGTCCACTAGTTTTTATTTTCAGTTGTACTTAATTAGAATCCTAATAGATAGAGAAAAATATATAAATATAATTATAGGTGATGGTGGCTCTAAATGTGATTTCTGTGTCGAGAATCATATCGGATTTCGAATAATGCAAAATGAAATCTGATGCAGTTTCATCAGTTAATCAAGAAAGAAAATAATTGTAGCCAATAAAGTTAGTAAAATGTAGCTTGCTAAATCGAACTTTCTTCTTCTTTCTCTCTTTAGCTTTTCTTGTTTGAAGCATTCTAATACTCAGAATTTCAATAGACAAAGAATTATTGTGTGTTAATTTAATGTTCAATTAGTTCAACTTTGTTCTTATTTCATTCATTTGGTTTAAGAATTTATGGTTTTAGGGATTGAGCAAATCTATAGTGATAGGGATGTATTTAGAGTGAGATGAATATATAAAATTCATGTTGATATATAGTATTTAAATGAATAAATTTAATAAGGACATGATTGGAATATGACGTGGATGTAAATAGTATTTTTTTTAAAAATTTTATTAGGGATGAATTTAGAGTGGGATGTACTTATAAAAAAATGTGAACGTAAATAGTAGTACCCTTTATTAAAGACAATAAGTGTAGAGAATACAAGAATTCAGCAATAAGGCTTAGCTTAAACTGAATGAAGAGCCAATATTTATAGGAACATACCAAACCCTAAAAATGTAATAAAAATGAAAATAATATAGAAATAATGTGAAATAAATGACGTAATATTTTTTCAATAAAATCATATGAAAATAAGGAAACTATATTTTCTAAAAAATTCACCATAATTTGGTGCACAAAATCTAACAATAGACTCTCAAGTCTTCTTAAAGACGCCCTATACAGATTTATACGATCTGAACCCACCCCCACAAATCATCAGCAACCAAAAAAGGAGAAAGAAAAAAAAAAAAAAAACAAAAGATAAAGTTTTGTCAAACATTTAAAAGGTCTCCACCATACAAGAATAACAGTGCAAAAGTAAATTTAGAGGTAAAGTAATCTAGATCCCTCTTCATCTTTCTAGAATTCCTCCATTTCTAGGTCATATTTCTGAAGAATATATTCTTTTTTGCTTTTAATTAAATATTTCAACTATCAAGATCCATGTTTTCAAACTATTATAATTTCACCAATAATCTTAGTTTGGCCGTACTGAAAGCACTGTGCAAAGGAACATTTATGGTGGATGGATGTGGTCCAAAACCAGTAAACAAATTATTTCTACTTTTGCTCTTATCAAGTAGAAGGACCACAACGTAGGATTCAAGTTACAATTAATCTAAAAATACTTATGACCACGAGTTCGATCTGAAAAAAATAAACAACCTAAAAGGAAAGATGAATTTTTTTTTTTTTTTAACAAGTCCTCACTTATTTATCTTTCATTAAATTAAATGTGAATATTTATACTATTTATTTGTTTTGATAAATGTATATCAACATCATATTGGGGACTTTAATCTTAATTTAATGATTAAATTGATTATAAATTAAATTCCCACATCAAAGTTTTTGAGCATAACTAGAAGTGAAAAATGGAACGAGACGGATATAATTATTGAAGTAAACTCGATAGCTCTCATGATGTTTTTGAATTTGTCGTCAATATTGAGTAGTATTAAAAATAGAATATAATCTTATTTATTGTAACATTAATGCCATCAATTCGTGAAGTTTAAAATACAATATCTTTAGAAAGAAGATCTTTTGTCCTATAGTAACTGCTCCATTCCCCTTACAAAACTTTCGTTATTGGATTAGCTATTTACTTTACATGTTTCTAGTGATTCACATGCCATCATCAAATAATTCAAATCTTGGATAAGAATCTACAACGCACTAGAACATTAAGAAAAAACTTTCCTCTTTAAATCCCACCTTCCAACCTTTTTTGGGATTCCATCACACAACAGTCTTTGCTTTAGTGGACATCCAATCGATGTTTGTTCAATCAATATTCAAGTCATTGCTTAGTACAACCAAGATGTCCATTTCCAATCCTAGTAGGGAGATGGAAAAATGCCTCCTCGATGGGACGGGAATTTCCCGATTCTTCGTGGAATTGGGGCAAGGAACATGTTCCCTCTTTGTTTTTTTAAATATATATTAAATTCAAATCGTAATTTGAATAATAAATAA